TTGTCAAATACAAAAATGAAGCTCTATTTTTGATTAGGACACTCTAAAATTTTCAGACGAATAGAAAAATCCTGGAATACTTTTTTCGGACTTTAAATCTGCATATTTTTCACTAAAAAATACAAAAAAAAGAAACTTTTTTGCGGTTCTGTAGTGGATTACTTTGAAAATAATTTTTAAAAAATCAATCTCAAAAAAGTGAAACATTCGAAAACGACACCGAATTCCGGATTCCAGTTATTTTTCTCTAAAAAGTCAGTATGTACACTTGTGCATTGAAGTTTTTTTCTGATTTAAGAATTATCCAGTTTTCATGAAACAGAAAATTTTTTTCAAAGCTTTTTTTGACGAAATTGTAAATTAAGTCAGTCTACAACGAATTAGCGACCGGGAATTGCTTTTTTGATGATTTCAAAGTTTTTTGAATAATTTTTGAAACAGAAAAATTCGAAATTAGATATTGTCATTTTGACGTGATGGCCTAGAAGACCAAACTTGCAAAAGTTAGGCCACCACTTCAAGATGAATTCGAATTCGTCTCGAAAAATTTCTCGAAGTCATGTCGAAAGGATACGCTGGTCTACAACAAACTTAGTATCAAGAATTGAATTCTCAACGATTAAAAAATTTTTTGAATAATATTTGAAACAGAAAGTTTTGTAACTCAGAAATCGTATGTCCCAAGAATTGCCATTTTAACGATTTCAAAAAGTTTTGAATAACATTTGAAACACAAAAATTTCAAAAATTCGAAAATTCAGAAATCCGTCATTTTTCTAAACTTCACATTTTCGGATTACTGTAGTTCGGTGCACAATTAATTTCAACTACGTTAACGAAATACCAATAGATTATATATTTTTTGTTTTTTATTTAAAAATTTTTGAAACAGTAACTTTTGAAATATTCGCGGAAAATTCGTATAGTTGGGTTACTGTAGTTTTTCAAAAATTTCTGAAAAATCATTGAAATCGTTAAAAATGTAATTGAAACAACTCCCTTTTACAACTTTTTGAAGAAAAATATCACATTTTGAAATTTGAATTTGGTGGCCTAGAAATCCAATTTCTGCGGATTTCTAGGCCTCCAAAATAGCTTAGAAAATCTTAAAAAATAGAATTTTCAGCCAAAAAACCAAAAAAAGCAAAAAAATAAACAAAAAACGGAAGCTGAAAATTGGTGGTTGAGACTCTTCACTTTCCCTTTTTTTCTATTTTTTACTCTTTTTTGGCTTCAAGGCGATCCTCAAATTTTTCAAGAGCGCTTTCGGAATTTCCAATTTTTTCGGCTCTTTTTTAACCCGATTTTGGTGGAAAAGGGGGCATTACAATGATTGGATTTTTTGGTAGCCTAGAAAAATGTAAAAGATAGGTCACCAAAAAATGCAAAAAAGAAGAAAAATTCCAATTAGATTCCCAAATTGCCCCTAATACTAAGACATAAAAAATTCAATTGGAACCAAAAAGGAGAAAAAAAAACGACATAAAATTGATTAAAAAAGGGGGAGCAGCCATCATGCAGATCAGAGTTTATTTATAGATATAAACACGAATAATTCTCAGTGTTATTTTTGTGGAAATGTGGATATGAGGAGGGGCGGGGCTTAAGTGAAAAAAATTGGAGGTGATGGTACCATTTTACAAATGTTTCAGTGATAACAAACAAAAAGAGGTGGGCGGGGCTTATATGAACATCCCCCAAATTAGATTTGAGAGAGGGAGAAGAGAATTAGAGAAAAAGAGGAAAAAAGGAAAAATGTGGATGAGAGGAGATGAAATTTCACACATTTTTGCTTAAAAATTGGGGGGAAAAGACAACGAAATGATTGTGATAAGAGAGAGAGAGAGATCAGAATCAGAGACGCAGAAATCAATCCCTCTAGCGAACTCCAACAGCAGACGTTCCACCACCACCTCGAACTGTCTTCTGAGCGTTTGGCAATGGCCGACGGAAGAGAAGCACGTGACGTTCTGGTCCATGAATCATGTAGTGAATCCATCCGGGAGACTGAAAAGTGATTAGTTATTGAAGGCTGAGCAACGATGCGAAGTTAAGGATTTTCCAACTGAGTCAACGTGGCCTAGAAAATTCTAGAAATCGAATTTCTAGGCCACATAGACAAATGGCCTAGGAAATCATGAAAATTGAGTTCCTAGGCCATCAAATTTTCTCGTAAAATCTCGTGACCTAGTTTTGGGATTCTCTGCCACGTTCTTCAAAATTCGTGGCCTTGAATTCCTGAACCGTGTAATTTTAGGCCACTCGTGTCATGAAATTGAAAGGGTTTATCACAAAACGTGACGTGGCCTAGAAATCCAGGACTAGGCCATCAACTCAATCGTGGCCTATGGATCCCTAGAAATCGAATTTCTAGGTCAAATGGCCTAGAAATTTATCAAAATGGATTTCCTAGGCCATCATTTTTGGTAAAATTAATGTCCCATTTCTAGGCCGCTATATACAAAAATTATGGGCTAGAACTGGTTCTAGGTCTGAAACTCGGCAAAAAATAGTCGTTTCTACGTCTGGTGGCCTAGAAAACGTCGAAAAATGGAAATTCTAGGCCACCAGACTCAAAAATCTCACTTGCAGCCGATTTTTGAGAATTTTTTCGATAAAAAATGGTGTCTACTTTTAAAAATTCGAAATTTTTACTACGAAAATTCCACAGTTTTCAGACAAATTCCAGCTCAAAAAATCTTAACATTCTCTTTTTTCGACGTTCAATATTGGTATTTTCACTTCTGGTGGCCTAGAAAACGTCAAAAAAATGGAAATTCTAAGCCACCAGACTCAAAAATCTCAGTTTCAGCTGAAATTGGAGGACGTTTTCGGCGAAAAATCAGTTTTTTGATGCGTTTTTCAACGATTTTTCAGACAATTTCTAGCTCATGAAACTAAAAATTAAGAATTTTTGAGCCCAAAATCGCAGTTTTAGCCGAATTTTGGGGATATTTTCACTCATTTTCAGCTCTCACCTGCTGAATTCCGAGACTTCTCCATTCGGTTTCCGACATCAGACGATTCTTTGGAATCAGTTTGGCGACATCCTTGGTGACATGAACGTGTCTATACTCGTATTCATCGTCCTCGTACTTGTTCGAATAGTAGAAATCATTTGATCCAGTCGTCATTTTGTGTAGAGAAACCGGGCTGGAATTGAGGGGGCGGGGCGACGGCGATCTGAAAGTTCGGGTTAGATTTTATTTGATCATTTGACAAGAATACGGTAAAAGCGAGCGAGAAAAGTGACAAAATATACGGAAAAACGATAAAAACGGCGAAAAAAGGGAAAAAAGCTAGTGTTTCGATTTCAGCAGGTCCACAATTCGACTGGAATTCAAATCGCCTCGAATTTCAGCAAATTCGTCCTTGTGCATTGGAATCTGGGCGTGATGCGTGGAATTTTGGTACTCGTATCTGCAAAGTTTTGGGGTTTAGCAGCTGAAAATTCGGAGGGAAAACCCACTCTACATTGAGAAACGTCTTCTTTTGGTCATTTTGGAGGTGATTATCGGCGGCGACTGGAATATTTAATGGTTTTTGAGCGGGAAATTCAAATTTTTGAGTTTTAGAGAAGCCTGGAGCGTTTCAGATTCAAAAAATGCAGATTTTTGAGGTCAAAAATGTCACAAAATCGATTTTTCCAGAAAATATACGAATTTTGAACTGAATTTTGTGAAATTTTGGGGATAAAAACCTCAAAAAAGGCCTTTCTTTGGGTCAAAAATCATCAAAAATGGATATTTTTCGTCTAACAAATTAGTTACTTTTAGTAGGTCTGGACGGATTTAGCTCCAAAATCTTGAAAAAAAAACCGTTGTTTGGGTCAAAAATCGTCAAAAACTGATATTTTTCGGCTGGAAAAAGCTTATTTCGAGAGAATTTTGAAATTTTTGTTTGAAAATCTCAAAAAAGGGGCTTTTTTGGGTGAAAAATACTAAAACTCCATATTTTTAAGTGCGATTTTCGAATTTCGAGAAATCTGCAGATAAAAAATGATCCTAGAGCGCTTTAGCTTGAAAATTTCGGGATATTCGAGTGAAAAACACCCTAAAATCGATTTTATCAGAAAATATAAAAATTTTTGATTCAATTTTGGGTTCAAAAATCTCAAAAAAGGCCTTTTTAGGTCAAAAATCATCAAAAATCGCTATTTTTCGACTGGAAATTGGTATTTTGGCCTTCAAAGAATCGATTTTTCGCAATTTTCGAAAACTTACGAATGAAGCTATAATTGGTGATCGTGAGGGGAGCAACTGGAGACGATTTTGATGGGGATGACGACATGATTAGCGCTGAAATAGAGGAAAAATTGAATTTTTGGGATTTTTTGGGTTATAAGGAGAGAGTGTGAAGAGAGATTTCAGAGAAAAAAGAAGAAAAAAAAATAGAGGCTATAAGCGAGAAAAGGGGCGGAGCTTGCCGATTTTTCGATTTTCCTAAAAAATTTTAAAATTTTAACATAGAGGAGGAATTAGCGAAAGAGGGGCGGAGCTAACAAAAAATTTGCCTATATTGGGATTTTTAAGGCTGAAAATGTGGATTTTAAGCCAATTTTTTCGAATAAAAGTGAAAAATCAACATTTTCTGGGCATATTTTGAAGGGTAAACCCCTTAAAATCGGTTTTTCGATAGCTCAAAAATGAAAAATCCGGATCGTTTCGAAAAATCCTCACATCGTCACTGAGCATTCTGTCCATTCGAACGACGTATCCATCAGAAGTCGTTGCGACGACATAACGGCCACACGGCGAGAAATCCACATTTCGAACGTTTCCGCCGTCGGTTAACTTCAATTTGTGCACTCTGGAAATTGGATTTTCTGGGTTTTTCAGCGCCAAATTGGGCTAAAACAGTCGTTTTCAGCAAAATTGAGCCCATTTTTAGCCAAATTTGAGTCATGTTAGACGAATTTGAAGCTATTTTCAGTCATTTTAGATCCATTTTAAACCAACGTTCGTCGATTTTCGACCATTTTTAGCCTGCTATGAGCCATTTTAGACGAATTCAAGACAATTTCAGGCCATTTTTAGCCGTATTAGAATCATTTTAGGTAAATTTGAGACCATTTCTGACCGAATTCGATCCAACTTTGATGAATTTGAAGCCATTTTTGTCAAGTTTGAGTAATTTGAGACCAATTCGGGGTTTTCGATTTTGACAGAATTTAGACCGTTTTTAAATAATTTTTAACTCATTTTCGACGAATTTAGAGTTATTTTTAGTCAAATTTAGGGGATCTTTAGTCGATTTTGGACATTTTGAGACTTACGGTTCATGATTTTCAGCCGTCGGCGCCTCGGCCTCAATTTTAAAAAAGAACAGCGTTCCACCGGATCCAGCGCAACCGATAAACTTTCTCATCGGATCAATGGCACACTTATGGTACCATGACCATCCTTCTGGATTCTTGTACCACGCGTAATTGGTCACAGATTGCTCAGGTTCTAGGACGGATCTTCTCTCTGGGAACGTTTTGATGCCTTTGGGTAATCCAAATCGACTAATATTCAAATGGGGGTCACATCCACTACCTTTGGATAGGAATAGCTCGGAATCGAGCAAGAAGCGAACACAGTCCATGTAGTCCGAGTGGAGATCAGTGATTACAGCAGATGGAGCATAGATATTGAGGGTGTTATCGCTGGAAATAGAGGTTTCGAGTTTCTAGAAGCTGAAAACCCCTAATTTTTGGATTGCTTGGGGCTGAAAAAACTTAGAATTTCGGTATAAGAACAAAAAATTCACATTTTAAAGTAAAAATTGCCTAGAATTTCATTTTTCGGCATTTTCTACGCCACAAATCCCTCCAAACTCACTGTGGACGATGCAATTCTTCTTGAACCTCCTTCAGAAACGCCTTGTCAGTATCCTCGCCGATTTTTTTCGTGATTTTTATATTATTTGTCGATCTGTAACCAATTTCCATGAACTCTAAAATTGGCAATATCCTACCTGTCTCCGTCACTGCTAGACTGGAAAAATATATTCTTTTTTCCATTCTTCAGCTCGTCACACGTCTTATCGAGCCATTCTTTGGCTGGATTGACGGATAGGTCCCACGACATGAGTTGATGATCGAATCCGCAAGTGATCAGAGTGTTACCATCGCTGTTCCAGTCCTGAAATAAGCGATTTTCGGGAAATTAGAGTATTTTGGGGTCGCAAAATAGGATTTTTGGGAGCTATCAAGTCGAAAAAATGCCGATTTTCAGCATTTTTAGCCTCCAAAAACTGCCTAGTGCCCCTAGAAAAAACTAACCACTGAGAGAACAGCTGACGGATGACTCAGAGGTCCGCCGATGGTGATAAGGCATGACTGATTTCTGATATGATGAATTCGAATCGATTGATCGCCGGAAGCGCACGCGATGAGGTTCGAATCGGCGGGATTCACACGAATGTCGTTGATATCGCCGCCGAAGCTTCGGAGGGTCTGAAAAATCAAATATTAGGCGATTTTGAGAGGATTCTGACTGATTTTAGGATTTTTGGAGCTGATTTTGGGTCGAAAGATGGTTAATTTCGAGAATTTTCAGACTAAATTTCAGCGTTTTTGACCGAATTTCGATGATTTTGGCCGGATTTTTATAGTTTCAGACTGATTTCGGGGCTTTTGGAGCTGATTTTGTGTCTGAAAATGGTTAATTTCAGATTCGGGCATTTTTAGACTAAATTAGGTCAAATTCGATTTTCAGCGTTTTTCGCACTTTTTCTCTTCAAGTTTCAGGATTCTGATGAAACCTACATTATCCAAATTCTTGGTCTTCAAATCGATGACATATACATGTCCCAGAACGCCTCCAGCGACGATTTTATGGGCGGGACGATGATGATCAGCCTCATAGGTGTCATAGGCCCAAGCGACCGAGTAGAGAATCTCCTTGCGATCTGTAGCTATTCCTAATGGCTCGAAAGAGGTCGCCCAGATGTGTTCGAGCTTGTCAGCGTCGGTGATTTTGAATACGTGGACCTGGAAAAATGATTTTTTGAAAAAAAAATTTTAGTGAAAATTTGAAAAAATCCGAACTTTTCAAATTAAAATTTTTTCTGAGCACTTACATTTGTCTCTCCACAGACTGCAACCAATTGATTGTGTTCTGGATAGGCATATGGATTAAAGGCGCATCCGTAGAGGCATATAGACGTATATCTCGATTTTCGCCCTGGACCTTTTTTCGGGAATCCTATCCGACTTCTCGCGGTTTCTACGAACAATTCTATTGGCTTCGCCGCTTGCGATTTCCTCGGTTGACCTCTTTCTTTATTTTTCGCCGATTCCACCGATTTTTTCGGCGAATTTCGGGGGTTTTTCGGTGGTTTTGGTGAGTTCATTGGGTTTTTAATGCACAGGGAATGAGAAATGGTACAGAAAAACGAGGAAAAATGATACAGAAAACGGGGAAAAAGAGGCAAAATCAATGGAAAACAGTGCGAAAAACGCGCTCGCGCGCTTTTCGCATTCAAATTATGCGCGTTCGCTGCGAGACCCGCCGGGGAAGAAAGGGTGTGCGCCTTTAAAAAATCTTTTTGATTCGGGGATTTTTTCGCGGGTTTTCGAGATTTTTCAAGATTTTCGATAAAGAAAAAAAAGAGAATCGACTTGAAATTTGAAGCAAAATTTTTTTTCAATAAAGTAATGTATAAAACTTGCAGTAATGTAGCCCGTGAACCACTTAAATTGTCGAAAAGCAGATTTCGGTCTAAAATCGGATTTTCGATGTGAATTTTTGCATTGATTGTTTTTTCTCGTTGTTTGTCTTGAAAATGTTTGAATATTGTCGAATAAAATGTTCTTTTCCCAAAAAATTTTTTTCTCCAATTCTTTTAAATTCAGAATTTTGATATTTTCAGGTTTTTTCCAGGTATTTTCTTACAGATCTGGGATCCACTTGGGTTCAAGCGAGGGGGTGAGAAAAAGCGCCCCAGCAAACTCGTAGGCCAGAAGAAATTTAATAATTTTAAAATGAACGCGGGTTTGAACTAGATCATGATCTATTTCTTAAAAATCAACGGGTTGCAACGCGCGTATTTTCGCTCATCGTTTAAAACTGTGATACTCAGCCAACAAAGTTCGGCAGCGAATTGAGAATTTTTGAAAAATTTAC